CCCCAAAACCCCAAAACCCCAAAACCCCAAAACCCCATATTTAAGAAGGGAAGTTGAAAGGGATAATTAATTACTGTTTAAATTGTAGAATTTGGGATTGTACAGGATGGGAGAAAGTTCACACAGACGAAGAGAAAATGAAATTAGAACTTATTCGAATGCAAAACCCTTTAAGAGGGGAAATAGAGAAAGAATTAAAGGAAAAAATTATATTAAATCAAATAAAGCTAATATTAAAAATATTTCAAAGGCAAGGAATCAAAATGAGAGACAAAAAACAATAGAAAAACAGAGAACCGAATGGTTAAAATTTGGAGATTCTCCATTAAAAAAATCAAATAAAGAAGCTACTTCCTGAGTTCCAAATATCAAAAGAGTGATTTCACCAAAAAAGAATAATCTAATATGAGAAAAAGATGGCGAATATGACCAAGTAACTCATCCCGAAGCAATTAAGCATATTAAAAAACTTTATTCGAACGTTACCAAGCCAAAGAAACATAGAAAGAAGCACCAGATTTACCCAGGACAAGCTAATCTCAAAGGATACCTTGAAAAAGAATTAAAAAGAAGAGCTATACATAAGCCTAAAGGTTCTCAAACAGACCAAGAAAAGGCTTGTCTGAGATTATATGAAGAACATAAAGACAGACAGATAAGGATGCAACAGAGGAAGAAAGAAAAAGAGAAGAAGGAGAAAAAGGAGAGGAATCCATGGGAGAGGACCAAATCGAGAACAAGGAGCAGAATGCGAAAAGAGAGACAGATTAAGGAAGAGGAGGCTAAATTTAAAGATAAAATTGTGAAGATAGACAAAGAAGAACAGAACCTAAGAAAAGAAAATGAGAAGATACAAAAAGATAGTCAAGAAAGAATAAAGAGATCAAACTTTAAAATTGAAGGTTTTAAAAAAGAATCTAGCAATGTTGGAATTAATAGAAGAGAACTTAGTCAAAAAGACAAATTAGAAAATTTCAAGAGAGTTGAGAATAATATAAAAATCAAATTAAGATCAACTGATAGCCAACGAAGCAACAATACAAAGATATCAATCATGCCAAAAACTAAAACCACAGATCCCACCCTCATAAACCATAACCCAAACCTGCATCCCTAAAACTAAGACTACTACATCCCTCCAAACCTATTCAAATCCCAAGATAATTCAATTAAATCTCTCCACACGCACAGATATTCCATCTCGACCTGTCCAAAAGCCATCATCTCCAATTAAACAGAAAGAAATTCAGCAAGAATCCTTCACAAGTCCACTTCAAAATCAAGCTTCCATCAACCATGATAAGAGAATATACAGCCTAAGCAAAAAGATCTCAAGCCAAGGAGGGGCGAAGAGCTTGGCCAAGAACAAGAGTGTGGGAGGACAGCACGATAGGATAAAGAAGCTTAGAGAATCTAACCTGCCTCAAGCACCTGCCAGTCATGAAACTTTACAACATAATCAAAATCTTTCAAATCAAGTTTCTCCACAGTCACAAAGAACTTCTGCACAAAAGCCCAAGAAACCAGCCAATCCTTCTTTTAAACCAAATTACAAGCGAGTCTGCCAAGCCAATCACTCAAGATTCCTTACTCAAGCCGCTAAACCACCCATCTCAAATTTTAGCAGAAGAGTTTACAAAAGAGAAGTAAGTCACCCTAAGTTCTCAGAAATCCTTTAAAAGCGCATGGAATTTGTTTATTTAGTGGTCTGAATTCGAGTTTAACTGTTGTGTAGATTAGGAAAGAAGAGACTCACCAGAAGGAAGTTACTAAGGAGACAGGGATGGTGAATAAGCCTTTTTTGATGAAGGGAAAAGAGAGAGCGATGAGTCTTAACCCAGCCCAGAGGAGAGATGAAAGGTTATTACATGATTCTGTGACAAAGCTGGAGAAAATTTCAGAATGATCAACTGGTGATATCAAGAATATTGGTACTCAGCAAAATGGCAAAATAAAGAGGAATTCAAATATCTCAAATGTAACTTCAAGCAAATCCGGTTTTAAATTGAGAGAAAAATCACAACTAAACGTTCCTAGAAATTTTGATAAAGAATCCGATAAAACAGACAATCATCTTTTGAAAGATAAACCAACTAGCATTACCTCGAGCCAATCTACTCAAGAAGAAACTAAAGAGGATAGTCCCTTCTCTCAAAAGAAAACTCCTCAAAAATCCATCAATAAAGAACTTCCAAAAATTGAATCTCCCTCCATTTCCCCCAAAACAGAAGAAAAGCAAGAGGAGGCTTTCTTGATTCCTTCCAAAGGTTTACATAACTCTTCTCAAGATTGATTTTCTAATGCATCCCTTCAATGCTTGATTTCAGCTTCTTCATTCATTAAAAGCTTTCTCCCTCAAAATAATTTGCAGGATTCTTCGGAGGATATTGAAGAAGAACCAACAGTTACAGCTAAATTTAGAGACTTCATTAACACTTACTTCAATCCTTCTGGCGATGTGGTAAATGCCCAAGAGCTCAGGGCCTGTTTTATTGATGATTTTCCAAAACGTCGTCAGCACGATGCAATTCAGTACATACTCTCATTATTTCAAAAATTGCAGGAAGAGCATAACAAGAATGCTCCTGTTTTTAAATCTTCTGGTCACAAATCTAGTCAAGCTGCCTGGGAAAACTACCAGAAAGACCATACATCTATAATAGATCAGTTTTTTGTTGGCATGAACCAAAACTCTTTTAAATGACAAAAGTGTAGCTATGGGCCAATAATTTATGAAGAATTTAAGAATATTCCTGTCTGTTTTGAAGAAGGACAAAAGGATTATCAAATCAATATTGAAAAAATTCGTTCAACAACAGAATCTAGTGAGTTCTTTTGAAAAAAATGAAAAGACACTACAAGATGCATTATAGAGAATACTATAGTTAAGTTCCCGCAGTATCTTCTACTGTCGTTCCAAAGGTTAGGTATAGCAAATATGGCAAAAATTGATGAATTAATGAAATATGAAAAAGAATTCAGCATTGAAACAGACGATAAAAGTACAAAGAATTACTCCTTAATCAGTATAATTTGCCACCAAGGAAGTATTAGGAGCGGTCATTATACTGCTTATTGTAAAAGAGGAGACACCTGGAAATACTTCAACGACTCCTATGTAACAGAAACACGCTACCCCGACAGCGAAAAGAACGCCTACATCTTACTCTATGAAGCAAAATAATTCACCAACATTCCTATTTACTCTTTCAACACTAAACCACCCACCTGGGGTTTTGGGGTTTTGGGGTTTTGGGGTTTTGGGG